GAACCTTCGGGCAGCAGGCAATCCACTCACCTCAGCCTCCCAAAGGCGCGGGATTACAGGCTGAGCCACCGAGCCCGGCTATTTTCTGTATTTTTTAAATCTTTCATGTTCCTCATTTTCTCCATTACTGCCTTCTTTCGTGTTTAATTGATATTTTGTGCTGTATCCTTTTGATTCCCTTCCCATTTCTTTTTTCTATTTCTATTTATTTATTTATTTTTGAGTTGGAGTCTCATTCTGTCGCCCAGACTGAAGGGCAGAGGCACACTCACAGTCACTGCAGCCTCGACCTGCTGGACTCAGGAAATCCTTTAGCCTCAGTCTTCCAAGTAGCTGGAACTACAAGTGCACACCATGATGCCTAGCTAATTTTTCTTGATTTATTGTAAAGATGAGGTCTCACTAAGTTGCCCAGGCTGGTCTTGATCCCATGGGCTCAGGCAATCCTCTCACTTGGGCCTCCCAAAGTGCTGAGGCTATAGGCGTGACCTGGCCCTTTCTGTGCATTTTAAAGTTATTTTCTTAGTGGTTACCACAGAGATTACAATGAGCATCTTAAAGTTACAAATGTAGCTTGAACTAATACCAGTTCAGCTTCAGTAATATAAAAGTCTCCTGTACAGCTCTATCCCTCCTCTTCATATCATTGTCACAAATCATATTTGTTTCCATTGCTCTTTACTTATTGTGTCTGAGTTTTCTTTTTCCCTCTATCTAAAGAATATCCTGACCAGGCACGGTGGCTCACGCCTATAAACCCAGCACTTTGGCAGACTGAGGTGAGAGGATTGCCTGAGCCCACGGGTTCTAGACCAGCCTGGAAAACTTGGTCAGACCTCATCTCAACAATAAATAAAAAAATTAGCCAGTCGTGGTGGCACATGCCTATAGTTCCAGTTACTTGGAAGGTGAAGGCAGAAGGATTGCCTGAGCCCAGTAGGTCGGGGCTGTGGTGCCGTGAGCATGCCACTGCACTCCAACCTGGGCAATAGAGTGAGACTCCGACTTAAAAAAAAAAACTACAAAAAAACAAAGACAAATAGAAAAATCTTAAAATATCTAAGAGTGGAAGAAACTAAATTACCTTCACAAAGAAAAAACTTATAGTTGACATTTCATCCAAAGTGATAAAAACCAAAAAATGATGGAATGATATCTTCAAAGTGCTGAAAGAAAATTACTATCTAGAATTTTATACCAATGAAACAGTACTTCAAAAATGAAGTTGAAACTGGGCTCGGTGGCTCAGCCTGTAATCCCGCGCCTTTGGGAGGCTGAGGTGAGTGGATTGCCTGAGCCCGTGGGTTCGAGACCCGCTTGGGCAGTGAGACCTCATCTCTACAATAAATCAAAAAAATCAGCCGGGCGTGGCAGCGCATGCTTGTAGTTCCGGCTACTTGGAAGGCTGAGGAGGAAGGATCGCCGGAGCCCAGCAGGTCGAGGCTGCGGTGGCCGGGAGCGGCCACTGCACTCCAGTCTGGGTGACAGAGTGAGACTCCAACTCAAAAAAAAAATGAAGTTGAAATAAGGATATTTTCAGAAAAAAACAAAAGCTGAGAAATGTTGTCACAAGTAGGTCTGTGGTAAAGAAAATACTAAAGGATATACTTTTTTTTTCTTTTGAGTTGGAGTGGGATTACAGGCTTGAGCCACTGTGCACAACCTTGTCTTTGATTGTAGCAATTTTTTTCCTGATGTGTTGAGGTGTTGTTTTTTGCTAGTTGGTTTGTTTTCATCTTGCTTGGGATTTGTAGTACGTTTTACAATCTGCCTTGATGACTTTTTGTCAGTTTTGGAAAATTCTCATCTATTATCTTTTTCTCATCCCATCTCTCTTATTCCTCCTTGCCCTCCAATTATACTCAGTTTAGGTTAGAGAAATGGTTTTTTTGAGGGAGGGGCACATTTTTGGATATCTCTTACACTCTTTCTTACTTGTTTTTATCTTTTTGTTCGGTACTTCAATCTGGATATTTTATTCTGACTTATCTTCCAGTTTTTGAATTCTCTTTTCAGTGGTATCTAAATGGCTTTTTTAAATCCTTCAATTGAGTTTGTTTTTTCATCATTTTATTTTTTATTTCTGTGATTTTTATTAGGTTTTTTTTTTTAAAATCTCATTTCAGGTACTTATTGCTGCATAATGAACCATTCCAATATTCAGTGGTTAATGGTTCTGCTAGTTAGCAATTTGGGTTGGGCTCAGTTAGGCTGTTCATTTGGCTCCAGCTTGCATTATTCATGAATGTCTGGTCAGCGGTCAGGCTGGCTGGGGTGACTGAATTAGGGTGGCCGCAGCAGTGTTGGTTCATCTTTGCACCACGTGATCTTTCGTTCTCCAGAAGGCTCTCCTAGGCTTGTTCACATACCAGTGAGACAAGGTTCCAAGACAGCAAGTAGAAATATGCAACACTGCTTCAGACCAAGGCTTAGAACTGGCACAACATATTTTTACTGTATTCTATTCAGAAGCCTGGCTCAATGACTAGAGCCAGGGACGTAGACTTCATCTCTTGATGATGGGAGGAGTCGCAAAGTCACATTGCAAGGCCATGCCTGTTTTTGTGTTCTTTCACACTAGTTATCTAGTGAAATTCTCAAACCTATATTTTATCTTCTTGAACATTTTAAACATAATTAAAGTTTATGTCTGATAACTCTATTATCTAGATGCCCCTTGGGTTTGTTTCTGTTGCCTGTTTGTTCTTTTTGTTTTTGGATATGTTTCCTCCACTTGTTTATTTTTTATTTCATTTTGAATATTGTGTATGAGAAATTCTAGAAATAACTTAATGCTCTGGCTGATCTTACTTTCCTCCAGGAGTAATTTATGTTTGCCTCTCATAGGCAACCAGGTTAGAACTGTTAGAGATTCTAGGTCACTTTAGTCCAGTCCAAGGTTGTGATGATTCAAAATTGAGCTTCCAGTCCCTGTGAGAGCCGGTCCTTTCTTGTTCACTTTTACTTAGTGTACAGTCCCCAACCCCAAATTTCTGAGTTTCATGTCTACCCACTTCCTAACAGGAGGGTCCTAAACACCACGTCTCTTAGTTTCTTGAGTTTATTGTGAGCTCTACTCAGCTTTCAGCCTTTTAGCCACCAAGTATAGAATCAGAAGATGCCTCAGGGAGCAGCACTCAGAAGTGTTGGTCTCACCTTTCTGAATTTCCTTCTTCCAGATCTCGGCCCTGTAATATTCACCACTTTATTAATTCTCTGATGCCCTTAACAATATGCTTTTATAGTTTGTTCATTTTTCATCTATTTCTTATCAGTGAGAGGGCTGGTTAGCATGTCTTAATCTGGTTTTCTAGTATCAGAATTAGAATTCTTTAGATGTTTATTTTTCTCAACCAGTAAGTGTATGCTGTAGAATGAAAGTATATTCTGTTTTCAGATCATTAACTCTGTGGAGTCAGGTACCATGTCTCTTTTGTTTGTTTGAGGTGGAGTCTCCTTCTGTCACCCAGGGTGGAGTGCAGTGGCACAATCACAGTTCACTGTAGCCTCTATCTCCTGGGCTCAGGTGATCTATCCACCTCAGCGTTCTGAGTGGATGGGACTACAGGCATGCACCAACATGCCTGGCTAATTTGTGTGTGTGTGTGTGTGTGTGTGTGTGTAGACAAGATCTTGCTCTGTTGCCTAGGCTGGTCTTGAACTCCTGGGCTCAAGCAATCCTCTTGTCTCGGCCTCCCAAAATGCTGGGATTATAGGCGTGAGCCACCATGCCTGGTCAGGAACCATGTCTTAAACATGAAGAGACTCTGCCTTTTCAGGGACTTGGTTACAGCGGGACTCAGTAAGACTGAACAATTGATGATGACTGTGTATGTCCTTTTTGTAGGGTTAGTAATTATTTTTTCCATCCACTTTTGTTCTCAGGATCTTTGTACCACATTTGGTAGGTTGACCTGTTCTCATAAATAGTGCAGGGCCCATGGGAGACAGAGATGCAGAGATGCACAGCACAGCCTCTGCTTTTAAGAAACTTTTGGTTTGGTAATGAGTAGAGTCAGTACACATTATATAAATATAAATGGAACCCCACATGTTTTGCTTGCAGGAGTGTCAAGATCAAAGAAAAATATTTCATCAACCAAATAGCATTATAAATCTTTTAATTGCTTTCTCAATCTCTTGAGGAGATGCCAGGATAAGGTGCTGCTAGGAGAGTGCATTTATAATGCATTGGATATCTAAAAGTCCCTCTCTCTTCAATGCTCTCCTCTTAACGTCCTCCATGTTGACAGAGCTGTTTTCTTTTCTTTTTTTTTGAGTTGGAGTCTCAATCGGTCGCCCAGACTGGAGTGCAGTGGCACGCTCCCGGCCACTGCAGCTTTGACCTGCTGGGCTCTGGTGATCCTTTCATCTCAGTCTTCCAAGTAACTGGAATTACAGGCACGTGCTACCATGCCTGGCTAATGTTTGATTTATTGTAGAGACGAGGTCTCACCAAGTTGTCTGGGTGGGTCTTGAACCCGTGGGCTCAGGCAATCCACTCACCTTGGTCTCCCAAAGTGCTGGGATTACAGGCTGAGCCACTTAGCCCAGCGACAGAGCTATTTTCATAACAACCCTCAACTCTTGTTTTCTCCTCCAGATTCTCTCTGACCCTCCTCAATCCATCCAGACAGACTTTTTTTCTTTCTGCACCTACTGGGCCATCCCATATGGCTTCCCCCCTTAAAAAAAAAGCTGCAGTAACGCCGTTTTCTTCACTGAGAGCCTGGGTTGGCACACCCCCATACTCACTAGTTCTCATCTTGATTCCTTGACAGGGAAGTGCTGGGATATGCCTAGGAAGTGTAATTTTATTTTCTCTTTCTAATTGTTTTCTAGGGAGCAATCCTGGTGGAGACTTTCTGGTCACCAAAAAATTGGCAAACATTAATGAGTCATGACCTCAATCCCATGTGTCAAGTGCTAACAAGAGGGGATTATAACTTTGGCTCTAGGGAAGACAGTAGAGGAAACATGAGCTCAGCTCGGAGGGTTAGTCTTACTGGGTCTGGCCATTCAGAATTTCTGGCAGTCACCGCTGGCCCCAGTAGTTGCTTCAGTGTTGCTTGGAGCAAATCCCATCATATAAGGTGGTTATAACATTGTGGTAAAGAATTCATCCTCTAAAGCCAAACTGATTGAGTTTCGAGCTCATCATTCTTACTGTGTAACTTGAGCCAGTTCCTTAAGTTATTTCTAATTGTTTCCTCATCTGTAAAATGGGAATAAGACCTTCAGAGGGTCATTGTGAAGTTAAATAGTTAAAACATGTAAGGCGTTTGAAACTTACCTCTTATGTAGCAAGTACTCAAGAGATTTTAACTAGAGTTATTGGTGTGTGGGATCCTTCAGACTAGGGGCACAGAACTTGGGGAGAAGGGAAGGCAGATCTGGGGAGTACACGTTAAGGTTCTCCTAGGTTTTGGACTCCTCATGCCTGACCCTGTCCTAACTGGCTTAAGGAAAGTCACATCCAACTGCCTGTGCTGTTCAGGTCCGACACTCTTCTTGTCTCTTTCAACCTGGTTCTCTTTTCTAGACTGCCCAGGTGCAATCAGTCATGTGGTTGGCCGCTCAGAAATGTCTCTCCAGTTACAGCTAAACAACACAGTGACAAACATTTACACTGTTTTCTTGAAGAAGCAGCTGCCCAAACAACTGCAATATTCTGAAATACTGGTATGGAGGAATGATTCCAATCTGAGTTCTGAACCTTTAACTTCAGATCTCTTCAAAAATAGACTCACTTATACGATCAAAAACTTTACTCTTCTCATCAAGGCGGCTCAGCAGGAGGACAGTGGCTGTTACTGTCTGGAAGTCACTGAACATAGTGGACACCTTTGGAAAACCAAATTTAATGTTTCTGTATTTGGTGAGTCTATGGGACTGTTTGCCCTGCCCCTCTGATTTCTATAGGATGTGTGTTCCCAGTGCCTTTCTGACCAGAATCTCTGCTTCCAGATCCAGTTGAGAAACCTCGCCTGCAGGGGCAGGGGAGGGGCCTGGACAGAGGGAGATGCCAAGTGTCTCTGTCCTGCGTGGTCTCCAGAAACGACAATGTGACCTATGCTTGGTACAGAGGGACAGAGCTGATCCAGAAAGCACAGAACCTCACTAACCTGAAGGAGGAGATTGATGCCAATGGCATGTACATATATGCCTGCAATGTCAGCAACCCCATCAGCTGGGAACAACAGACCCTGAACCTCACTCAGGACTGTCAGAATGCCCACCGGGGTAAGTGGAGCACTTTGGGCTCTAACAGGGGCTGAGGAGTTAGGCCTCTTAAGCAGGCACATGTGTGAGAGAACCTGCGTATGAGATGAGATCGCTGGGCTTCCTCCCCATGTGCCCTGCAGCCCTCTCCCAGGGTGTCCTGGCCTTCAAGTATGTAGTTTCTGTAAAACCAGACCTGTCCAGTTTGGAACAAATTTTATCCCCATCTTTTGAGAGAGGAGTGGCCACAGTCCTGTTATGGTCCTGACCCTTATTTTCTTCCTCTGAGAGACTGATGGAGACCTGCTTTCTCCTCTTGAGTGACAACTGTCCCCGAGCCATAACTACACTGTACAACAATAAGCTGGAGTGGGAGTGTCGGGGTGATCACAGGACATGTAGAAGAGTTCTTGGGTTGTTGCTTCTGCTTGTCCTGAGAGTTCCTTGAGAGAAGCTAGCATTACTTTGTATTAGATAAACAAATGTGCCATCCGCATGGGCATTACAGGACAAAAAAGATTCAGTCTCTATCCTTAAGGATCCAAGTGGGGCAACAAAGCTAAGTACTACGGGTAAGAAAGAAACAAGACCAAGGAAAGGTGTAGACAAAGACACTAGCTTCTGGGTCATTTCGACGATAGCGTCATCATTCGCAAACTGTGTAGTTTCAGGTAGATTCATTCACCTCTCTGAGTCTCAATTATTTCCTTTGGGTGCTGATAATAAGCACCTCACAGGATTGCCGTTAAGAGTAAATGAGATGACATTTGCAAAGAGCCTGGTCAACTGGCACTTGGAACACCCATTCCTTGGAACACTTCATTCCTTTCCTTTCCTCTTGTTGGTTGGATGATAGATTGGACACATACATTAATGTAGATGTGCAGATGAGGAAGGGCGTGAAGGATAGAGTAGCAAGAAGGTGAAACGGGAAAGCCTGCCCAGCACATCGCAGTTGTGCAATGAATGCTTGTTGTAGCTAAAAACAGATGCGTTGGTAGACATGAGGCCTGCTGTACCAGATGCTCCACACGTGCAGTCACCCCTCAGCATCCCCGGGGACTGGTCCAGGGATTGTTCCCTCCTCTCCTGGATGCCAAAGGCCATGGATGCTCAAGCCCTTGATGCACAATGGTACTGTATTTGCATATAACCCACGCATGTCCTCCGGTGTCCTTTAAATCATCTCTAGATGACCCACAAGCCCTAATGCAATGTAAATGCCATGTAAGTAGCTGTTATTCTGCATGGTGGAGGGAAGAATAACAAGAAAATAAATCTGTGCCTGTTCAGTACAGATGCAATTTTTCTCCTTTGTATTTTGGACCTGCAGTTGGTTGAATCCACAGATGTGGAACTCATGGATCTGGAGGGTCAACTGTGTTAGATCATGTAATGAACTCCTATAGGTGGATATCATGAACTCCTTTTACAGAGAGACACTCTGAGAGGCCCAGGGGGCTTAGATAAGTAGCACAGACTTAGAATCAAAACCAGGCCTGTCTGATATTAATATTCATGCTCTTGGCATCTCTCAGGGAAGGTCGCCCAATGGAGCAAAGATAAAATCTTGACAGTGAGTGTGTAGGGCACGAGGAGACAAGTCACATCAGAGAGGAGAGCGGGTTTTGAGACAGCCCCTGCAGCAACAGGTGGGAAGGAGGAAGAAGGGGAGCTGACAGCCTACTTCTCATGCCTTCTGTATCCTCCAGAATTCAGATTTTGGCCCTTCTTGGTGACCATCGTGATCCTAGTCACATTGCTTCTCGGCGCCCTCACTTGCTTCTACATGTGGAGGAGGAAGAGGAAGCAGTCACGTGAGTGAAGGTCCTTGTGTTGCGCCTGAGGCCTGGGATCCCGTGAGCTGATCCTGAGTCTCGCCAGATTTGCCTGGGCACACAACATCTTTCCCTCCGGGAGTGTTGGCACGTGTGTGCGTGGTTGGGGGAGGGCGGGCAGCGGCTGCCAGCCCCTTTCTCCCAGCTCACGCCTTCTGTGGTGGCTGTTGGATAGTCACAGTCTGGTCCCCAATGTGCAGATTTGTCTTCGGATGGCTGGCTTGGTGGGGGACTGCCCAGACTGATGGAGGAGGCACGGCAGTGGTGGTTGCTGCCTCTGCTCTTTGGGCATCCAGCACTAACCACCCTCCTTTTTAGAACCTTAAGGTCTTGGCCATTTAGGGTAGAGGTGGGATCTGTGAGAAGTCGAAGCCCGACAGGGGGGCCTCTGGACATTTCTGCAGATCTGTTCTCTGCTTTCTTCCTCCTGCAGAGACCAGCCCCAAGGAGTCTCTGACAGTTTATGAAGATATCAAGGATCTGAAAACCAGGAACAATCAAGTATGGTGTCCTAGGGCCTGGGGTCTCTCTCAACTCACCTGGGAGATGCTCTTTTGACTAAGATCATTCAAAGCAGGAGGACAAAGAGGAGGAGTGGACAATTATCCTCTGGGCATGATCTTCAGCCCTCCCCTGTTTGTCTTTTCTGCTAGCTCAGCTTTCCAGCTCTGGCCATGGAGGTAAAAGGGAAAACAAAAAGAGCAGAACAGGGAAAGGGAGACCCAAGAGGCATGTCGTGCAGAACTGCACCTGCTGGGAAGGATGGAGGATGCAGGGTTCACAGCAGAGGCAGGATACTGCTCCTCACCGCACCCGTGTCCTCAGCTATCATCTGGTCTGCTGGGCTGAGAGCCAGGAGGAGAACGACCTTCTTGCTTTTAGTGTGTCTGACCGAATTCTCTTCTTTAGCAAGTCAGAGTTGACTTTCATGGGTCCCTTAATTGTGATGCAGGCTGGGAACCACGACCAGCCAGAGCCTAACAGTTTTGTAACTGGCTGGGTGGTCCGTGCTCACAGCCTTCTGGGATGAGATGCTGGAGTCTGATCAAAGCAGTAGGGAGAGTAACCAGCCTGGGACAAAGCTGATGAGCTGGGTGGGCTCCTCCCGGACCCTCCCTCGCCGCTGTCTGCAGTAGGCAGCAGCCACTCTGTCTACCATCCAGGAATGTAGAAGAAACAGTGAAGGGGCTGCAGATGACCCTGCTGCTGTGCCCTGAGCAGGACAGGATGTGGTGGCAGGCTTGGGGGAAAGGCCTGATGGGCCAGACAATACTGACTGACTGTGGTGGGAAGGGTGGGGAGATGGGGGAGGAAGTGCCTCCTGCTTGCTGCCATCCCTGGTGCTGACCAAGGCAGCACAGTGCAGGAAGCACTCGTGGAGGGCTCTTTCGCCCTGGTCACATATGTGAGGTCCTGTGCGGCACCACAGAGCAGGGAAGCAGCCTCTCACAGGTGTGGGCTCAGCAGGAATTGGGGCAGCCCCCTTCGTCTGTTTTCCTGCCACAGCAGTGGATATTGGGGTGCAAAAAATCAAAGGAAACTTTGTTTCTTCCACTGATACCAGACTCTGGTGAGAATTCCTGAGAGTGGGCACATCTACCCACAGCCTCTTGTACTTGGCTCCCCCTGCCCCCCTCCCTCCTGGCTCAGCCCTCCTTGGCCTCTCCCTGCTGACTTTGGGCTCCAGTTTGAAGGCCTGAATCTCAAGTTTCAAGTAGTCTCACTTTGGGACCCAGCTCCAACCTTTCCAGAGATACTTCACACGAATCTGGGCAGGAATAAAAAGCAAAGCATTCCCGTTTCTTGACAGATGCCCATGACTCCCGCCTTCAAGGACAGTTGTCATTTTCCTGCTTTTCTCAGCTTCTTCTTACTTCTGGGAGTTTAACCTGTCCCCTGCTGGCCTCCACCAGCCTCCACCGGAGCCCAAATAAGTGCTCAGGGATGAACAGAATGGAATGCCTCCACCCCAATCTCCTGTGGGGCAGGAACAAGAGGGAGGAAGCGGGAAGGATCTATGTCCCCTGCTTTTGGCCCTAGGTCCAGGGTTCCACTCAGCACCTCAAGCCTTGGTCTGGCTTGAGGCCAAGAGCAAGCTGGCTCTGGAGATCCGGTCTAGAGGGGGCTTAGACTTTGAAATGTTAAGCCTTCTGAATTTTAGTGCTCTGAGGTGGGGTTCAGGCCACAGCCCTACTCAGAGCTCTGCCAACTGTCAATGGTTGTGCTGCATGTTTAGTAGAGAAGTCAGCAAAGGCAAGGCAGGGTTTCAGAGTTGCTAAGGGGAGAGAGTGACAGCAGTCCCCTTGGGCAGGCCTGTTCCAGTGCCTTCACGGCTGGGTGGTTTCTTGCTCCTGACACTGACTACTCCCCTGCAAATTGCTCTTCTTCCTGTCTCTCCCTATCCTGGGGGCCATTGACTCTCCCCAGCCTTCCACCTCCCTCCCTGCTCCTGGAAGCCCTTCTTCTCTGTGCTGTTTTTCCTTATTCAATTCAAATCTGTCAGACCCAGCTGTCTGCTCATGCTACCCTTGTTCCTTTCTTATTTCTTGTGCAGGAGCAGGAGAGGGAGCAGAATCCTCCTGGAGAAGGGAGCACCATCTACTCAGTGATTCAGTCTCAGGTACCACTCTGTTTTCTCTAATCCATACCACACCTATGCATGGGGTTTCCTAACGCCCCCGCCTCCCCCCAAAAACTCACACCCTTGATTGGCAGAATAAGATCTTGATTTTCCTAGGGTCCAGAAGACGACCCAGCTCAGCTGCCATATAAGTTCTTTGAAACGATCACGTGGCCCTGGGGCTTCAGGCTTCTTACAGTTGGACAGCCTGATGTGGGCATTCCTTCTCCAATGCCTGGCAGGAAGCCAGATGATGAAGTCTGTGGGAGGAGGATGCTTGTTCAGGGATTCTGTTTTTCCTCCCTGCTGCTTCTGGCACTTGGGACCTCTTTTATTCCAATACTTGTATTCGGGGAGACATAGATCTGTATTGGTACCTTCTATCTTCTTACGACTTAGCAATAATGATCATTTTCTGAATAAATCTCACAAACAGCCTCATGAAGTAGTTCTGATATATTTAAGTGTGGTCTAAATTCCGTATAACAGATAAGGAACTTGAGACACAGTTGAAGTGTATACTCAAGCCACATGACTTGGTAGTGGCAGAGCTGAGCCACATGGATGCTGAGTCTCCTCCACCTCCCCCTACCCCACCTTTAACATTCTAGGATTAGAGAAATTCACCCATAAACTGGAGGAGCATATTCATTTTTTTTTGAGTTGGAGTCTCACTCTGTCACCCAGGCTGGAGTGCAGTGGCTGCTCCCGGCCACTGCAGCCTCGACCTGCTGGGCTCTGGCGATCCTTCCGCCTCAGCCTTCCAAGTAGCTGGAACTACAGGTGCGCGCTACCATGCCCAGCTAATTTTTGGTTTATTGTAAAGATGAGCTCTCGCTAAGTTTCCCAGGCGGGTCTCGAACCTGCGGGCTCAGGCAGTCCACTCACCTCGGCCTCCCAAAGTGCTGGGATTACAGGCTGAGCCACCGAGCCTGACTGAGAAGCACATTCTAAGATGACAACTCAGGTTGGAACATTTCTCCCAAGGGAAATACTGCTGTTTGGTGGCCAGTGATAAAATTTTCCAATAAAAATGGTTAGGTCAGGTGCAGTGACACACCCATCATCCCAGTACTTTGGGAGGCCAAGGAAGGAGGATTGCTTGAACCCAGGAGTTCAAGACCAGTCTGGACAACATAGTGAAACTTCATCTCTACAAAAAATTTAAAAAATTAGCCAAGGGTGGCGGCACACACCTGTAGTTCCAGCTATTTGTGAGGCTGAGGCGGAAGGATTGTCCCTGAAGTCAAGGTTGCTGTGAGCCATGATTGTGCCACTGCACTCCAGCCTGGGCAACAGAAAAAAAGAAATAAGAAAGAAATAAGATTCATTAAAAAAAAAAAAGAAATAAGAAAGAAATAAGATTCATTAAAAAAAAAAAAAGAATTGCGGTCAGACACAGTGGCTCATGCTATAATCCCAGCACTTTGGGAGGCCGAGGTGAGAGGATCGCCTGAGCCCATGGGTTTGAGAACAGTCTGGGAAACTTGGCAAGACCTCATCTCTACAATAAATCAAAAATTATCCAGGCATGGTGGCGCATGCCTATAGTTCCAGCTACTTGGAAGGGTGGCAGAAGGATCACCTGAGCCTAGCAGGTCAAGGCTGTGGTGGCCATGAGTGTGCCACTGCCTCCAGCCTGGGTGACAGAGTAAGACGTCAACTAAAAAAAAAAAAGAATTGAGACATATAACAATGTCTTCAGTTTGGTGACTAAAGTGTAGGGCAAAGAAATTTGATTGTAAGAGCAATTGATGTTTGCCAGTTTTCTAGCTTTACCCACATTGAACTCCAGCAGGAAGAATTTGAATAAAGGTAAGGAAGGGCTCCTCTCAGACTAGGTGTTGACTGCGAATGAGATTCCTTCTCTAGAGCATGGTAAAAGGCAGATGGTTACCTGCCTTAGGGGACACTTGGTTCAGATCCAGAGAAGGCAGGCTCTTTACCAAAGGGAGGCGCTGAGATGTGGAGGAAAGAGCCCTGGGAGTCTTGGGTTTGAATGCTGCTCCTGCTGTACACGCACTGTCTTCCTCGAGTCTTTGTTTTTGCAACCTCATTTGTGTATGGGGCAACTTATGACCATTCCCATCATACAGGAGTATTAAAAGGACTGGGAGAGAGCACATGTATCAAATAAGTGCTCAACAAATCGTAGATCATTAATGACTGAGGTAGCATGCAGGTCGCCTGGTCGCTGGCTCGTCCAGGGTCCTTTTCACTAACACTTAAGCTTCCTTCTTAAGGGCAGGGCTGAAGCCGAGGGATAGAAGACTTGACTTTCCTAGGGTTGTGCTGAAATGGTTTCTTTCTCTTCTTATCAGTCTCCTGTTTCCACATCACGTGAAACCTCAAATACGTTATATGCGTTCATACAGCCTTCCGGGAAGGTGAGTCTCTCCCTCTGGAGCGGGGTGGGGTGCTGTTGATGAGGATGTGCGCATGCAGGCATGTGTACAGGTGCATGTTCATGGGGTGTGTGTACACGTCCGTGAGGTGTCTTCCATTGCAGGTATCTGAGCGGCTTCTGTTTCATGACTATATTTACATAATAACGGGTCAATGAGAAAAATAACAGCATCCAGACGAAGAGAGAAGTGGGTTTGAGGGTTTTCTAGGCTTTGGTGTTGGAGAAAAGGATATCAGAGACAGAAAAGGAAACCACAGGGTCCTTAGTAGGCCAACTGAGGCCGTGGCGAGAGGCACTGGAGGGGTTTCATTTCCTGGAACTGGGACCTAGAAACTCACAGTGGTGACTTTCAGGTGACAGACAGAGGTCCTGGCCAGTCACCTGCTGGTGGAGGCCTCTGGGTGGAGGTGACCCATCCTGGTGCACTCAGATCCTGCTGCAAGCTGAGCTCATCATTCTCTGTTGTTCCTGGAGCCACAGAGGTGGGCATGCTGGTACCCAAGGATGCTAATTGCATCTGGTGTGGGACGGAAGACTTGTGCTCTCAAGGCTGGAGCCACAGTGTGAACCACAGGCCTTAACACGGTGGTGTGGGAAGTTGGGATGTGCAAGCTGTGGGCATCCATGTGGAAGAGGGGCTGTGTGTTTCAAGGGGTTGAGAACAGAGTCTCAGACTTTTCTTTTCTTTTTTTTTTTTGAGTTGGAGTCTCACTCTGTCACCCAGATTGGAGTGCAGTGGCTGCTCCCGGCCACCGCAGCCTCGGCCTGCTGGGCTCCGGCGATCCTTCCACCTTAGCCTTCCGAGTAGCCGAAATTACAGGCATACGCCATCATGCCCGGCTGATTTTTTAATTTATTGTAGAGATGAGGTCTCACTGCCCAGACAGGTCTCGAACCCATGGGCTTAGGCAATTCACTCACCTCAGCCTCCTAAAGGCGCGGGATTACAGGCTGAGCCACCGAGCCCGACAGTCTCAGACTTTTCATTCAAGCTCCTTCCTACTAGTAAGTCATTCAACCAACTTGGATCCCACCATGAGAGATTGTTATTTTTATTTATTTATTTATTTATTTTGAGTTGGAGTCTCACTCTGTCACCCAGGCTGGAGTGCAGTTGGCATGCTTACGGCCACCGCAGCCTTGACCTGCTGAACTCAGGCGATCCTTCCACCTCAGCCTGTCAAGTAGCTGGAACTACAGGCACACACCACCACATCCGGCTAATTTTTTGATTTACTGTAGAAATGAGGTATCACTAAGTTGCCCAGGCCAGTCTCGAACCCATGAGTTCAGGCAATCCTCTTGCCTCCGCCTCCCAAAGTGCTGGGATTATAGGCGTGAGCCATGGTGCCCAGCCCGAGAGGTTGTTAATTACATGTCAAAATATAAGGGCATACTCATAGGCCCCATGTTCACATGCTTTGGTATTATGTTATGAAAACTCTACATACTATTGAACGTGCTTCTTAATTCTAGTGACTCACAAAACCTGTGTTCAGGGTATGTGCAAGGGCTGGCAATTATTTATGTGCCTGAGCTGTTTACGGCAGGAGTGTGTGTATGTTCTGTGTTGAAGCGATACACTGTTTGGGCCATTGTTTGTATTAGGATTGCCTGAAAGTTATGCGTGTTTGGGGATCTGTGTATGCACTAGGGATGTGCATATGTAGGGCCTTAGGGGTATGTGGGGGTAGAATACCAAAATCTCACTTTGGTTCAGAAAAGCCCTATCTTAGGCAAGGCACTGTATGTATTGTGTCTTCCCTGTAGACCGTAAACACCACTGTTTACTTCTGGGGTAGGAGAGTCTACTCACATTCTGGTAAGGATACCGCTTGGCTGTTCTGGGCCTGAGTCTTTTCTGGGGCCTCTCACAACCAGTAGGAACAGGGCATCTCTCATCTTGTTAAGCATTCTTTCTTCTCTGAATTTCTAGTCTGGATCCAAGCAGAAGCACCACAGCCCTTCCTTCGCCTGCACCATCTATGAGGAGGTAAGATTCTGGAACTCCTCCTGAATGGGTTTAGTGTCTGTAGCTTAGCTCTGGGGTCCAGCCATGAGAGGGTATGTTTATGAAAGGTTGTCCATCCAGTCTCAGAGTTATAGGGATTTTAGGGGCCTTCTAATGCAAATCTTTGGTTTAGAGATGAAGGCAGTGAGGTTCATGGAGACTTAGGGTCCAACCCAAGAGTATATCACGTGTTCAGTTTGACTCTGATTGGGCAACTTGGGTTCTAAATTAGGGCTTTCCTCAAGCTAATTCCCGGGCTGTGGGCCACAAACGGGCATCTCTCCTTTCCAAGGGTGTGTGTGTGTGTGTGTGTGTGTGTGTGTGTGTGTGTTTTCAGAAGGGATAATAAGTGACCCTAAATTATTTTCTAAAATTGGCTAGTTATTGGGGACTATCTTAGGAAGTGAGTGATCTTAAGCTTCTGCTAGGGAAGACACCTTTCAGAGCAGACTCCTGAGCCTGGTGGCTGAACTGACTCCCATCAGAGCATTTAGGGAGTGCAAAGGAGGAACTCAGCGTTTATTGGGGAAGTTCTTATGCATAAGGCAACCTGCCAGTGTCTTCACATGAAGTACTTTTAGTTCCCACAGAATGCTACAAGGTAGGTATGATCATACTTTCCATTGATATCCAGAGAAATCAAGGCACGGAGAGCACTCCCACCCATTAGCCTCATACTGCCCCTGAGCCTCTGCCTGTCAGTCAATAAAGATGTTGCCATTTGTCACACTGGAGAGGGTGGGTGGCTACCCGCTGGGATTCCTGACTTTTTAGCCCACCAGTAAAGCCAAGCAGACATTCCAGGGGTGTAGAGGATAAGGCAGTTTGGGGGGCCACAATGAAGCATGAATGGTTAAGAGAGCGCTAAAATTAGAGCCAGAATTGAATTCAGATCCCTCCTTACTTCACACTGGTGGTTTTCTCTGAATTTTCTCCAAGATTCATCCTAATCCATGAAATGAGAAGAATAATTCATACCCGCATGGGATTGCTATTAGGGTCTCCCTAGTGAGAAGGTCTGAAGTTTCTTCTTTTCTTCTGCAGGTTGGAAATACACGATCCAAAGCCCAGAACCCCACTGGACTGAGCCGCAAAGAGCTGGAAAGCTTTTATGTTTACTCCTAGTGGCTGTAGTGGCTCTCACTTCTCTTGCACAGCGGCTTCTGCTATGGAAACCTTCACGATGGATGAAGACACATGACTCTCTCTAGAACAGTCTGGAGAGGATACGAAAGCTTATTCGTGGTCTATGTTTTGTCTTAAAAATGATTTCTAACAGCCACTGTCAGGTCAAGGCTGTTAAATAGTGTCTTCCAACTTACGGATCAGAAAAGAATGAATGGAGAGGCTGGAATCGTTCACAAAAGATTCACAAAAGAGAATGGAATCGTTCACAAAAGATTCCAAGTGCTTGTGATCTATAAAGAGCTACATCAAGGCAGGGTGTTGTTATTGACATTGAAATTCCCTCCCCTGGTTTTCTAGCCTGTCACTTGTCTCCTCCTCCCTGATCTGAGATGTCTGCGTTTCTAGATCCTCCCTTGGCCCAGGCCCATCTTCCAAAGAAGAGGAACGAAATACAATGGTGACTCTGAGAAAGAGGAGACAGTCCTCCTCTGTGGGGCGAAACTGTCTGACTGAGCTGACGGAAGGTTCTCCCTGGGGTCAGGCCTGGTCTTTACTCAAATGCAGAGAAAAATCTTTTCTCCCACATCTCACATGTTTACCTCTGGCCAGTTGGTCACCAGGGTGAGTGGGCATAAGAGAGAGTGGGTGATGGTGCAAAGTCAGCCCCTCTTTGAGTAGAAAAGGCACCCAGAGCACACACTGCCATGGTAGTCTGGCAGTGAGACCAGCTTTGTCCAGTACGACGTTTGGTTTACAAAGACTCATCATTAGAGGTCTATTTTGGCTTCACAGAAGAAGCCTCTCAGAAACCAGATTCCATGTAAATTCTGAGTTCTGATGCAGGTTCCCCAAGGTACATGCAGAAGGGAGGACTCAGATAGCCGAGGGCTGAAGGTGAGGCTGTTGGGAACTAGACGCTATTGGACTCCAGGGTCTTCAGGCCAGACCCCTTCGACAAGGCTGTGGGGAGCAGGGCTGAGTCTGTGTGGGCCAGGAAGGGGACGCACATGACCTGGGAGGGACTCACTCGGGGACTCCAGCAGGCGATACTGCACAGAGCCTACTTTTCCAGTTACCCCACCTCCCATATCTAACATAAAAATTTAATATAAAACTGTGGTGTTCTTCAGAGGTAGTCCAAGTTCCCTGCCTGAATTAAATGTGTGCATCTTTTCCGTACTCTGTGTTTTTATTCTATAGCAGCCAAAGGACACCTGGGACCCATTCAGTAACAAGTCTTTTCAAATTCTGCTGCAGAAGGTCTGGCTTCCTGGTGAGATGTCGGTGTCTCCCAACATTGTTCATGCTAGGACAGCAGAGGAGAGATCCCAGGGACCATCAGCCCCGTGAAGGACAGCCAAGGCCTCATATAAGGTTCCCATATTTACCCAAAGGAACTTCCCTCCTTATTGTCCAGGCTGATGCAGAACAGCCACAGCATCTATCCTCAAAACTGTGGCCACAGCCCTGTGGCCCTGCCTGTAATGTGCACTGCACTTGACTTACATGCATGATACACCAGTGTCCATTTCCAGTCTCTCACCTGGAGACTGTGGGCTGCCCAGGCTGGCGTCCTTCTGGAGAGAAGTATGGACAGACCACATCTTAAAGCAAATGCCAAGTTTAAAAACCAGGGAAATTGATTCAAAAGGCATTTGGTGGCCTGGGGCAGGTATCGGGAGCTGAGTTGCAGAGCCTAACAGTTTGGTGAGTAGAGGCGGCAGGAAGTGACAGGATCAGAGGCAGCAGGGTCAGAAACAGCACAGATGAACACCGAGGACACTGACCATTGACTGCTACTGGCCTTTCATACACCCTGTGCTGTGCAGATCTTGAACTGGCCATATCTGTTTAAGGAGCAGGAGGGACTCAATGGGATGCTCCCCTCTGGAGTGTAAGATATACAGCCTCATCACGTTGTGTGTTTCATTGCTGAGCTTCTATGATAATGCCTCACAAAGATAATTATCCATGCTATGAGTCAGTCAATGAACAAGCAGTCTTTAAGCTCCTTCTGAGTATGAAGCATCGCCTGAGGCACCGGAGGACCCACTGCAGGCTGCAGATGCCACAGTTTCTCCAGGACTGTGTGTAGGCAAGCATGACCACGGGAGCATGACATTAAAGGACACAGATGGGCCACAAGGCGCATGGAACACCAATGGATACTAGTGTATCATGAATATAAGTCAAGTGTAGTGCATCTTACAGGCACGGGGATGGCTGTGGCCAAAATTCTGAGGAGAGATATTGTGGCTATTCTGTATCCAGATGGATAATAAGGAGGGGAGTTCTTTTGGGTAAATACAAGAGGGACCCCAAAATATCCGGAATTATTTTTTGGAGTGTGGGCCCCTTATGACACAGGCCTCCCCTGCAAAGAAGGTGTTCTAGAAACCCATTGACATCAGTGCATCAGCTAGTATTGTGAGAAGCTGCAATCAACTTTAGTGAATTTTTTGGAGATTCTTTCAACACATTTGCCCATTTCATAATGAATGATTTATGATCGTACCTGCCACACTGTTTTTTGTTTTTTGACCCAAAACAGCATGACCCCTGTGCCACATCTTCCCTATTCACTTGATCTTGCCGGGAACGACTTTTTTTTTTTTGTTTCCTGGATGAAAAAGTCTTCGGAGGGAAACGTTTTGCAGATGTGACAGCGGTGAAACAAATAACGGCAGAAACACTAAAAGGCATAAAAATGGACGAGTCCAAAAGCTGTTCTGAGCAGTGGAAAAAGCATCCCGATAGGTATATTGCATCACACAGAGAGTACTTTGCAGGTGACTGAAGTTTAAACATGTATGAATAAATACACAATTTTTGATAAATTATTTTTTGGGGGGAGGCCTCATATGGGAAACTTATATAAAGCAGGTATTTTAGGCACTTTTAAGAAATATCCAAAGAGTAATGCACATATACGGCTTTTAATTCAACAGGACAAAAAATTATGCAGTAAAAAATAAGTCAACTTGAGATTCCCAGTTCCCAGAGGCAATCACTCATTTTTTGCATGTCCTTCTAGAACTTTTCTGTGCCTGTATAAGCACATAGACACATTCTCTAATCCAGTTGGCAACATGCAATGCCCACTGTCCTGAAATTTCCACTCTGCAGTGTGTCTTAGAGTTTCTTCCACATCAGCATGTTGTAGTCTTTGTTCTTTACATGTGGCAGAGCTTGTCACTGCATGTATTCAACTGAACTCTCCCTAAATGGACACTTAGGTTATTTCCCACCTTTTGTTTTAAATAATAATGGGATGGACATCATTTTACATCGAAGTTTGGGCCCTTGTGTGAGAATAGTTCTTGAATTCAATTTAGCAGCTGTTTGGAAGATGGGGTAAAGAGTAGTTAGTCTAGGTCCCTCCAACAACATCTGACCAGCCTTGGCAGAGCTGGTTTTTTTTTTTTTTGAGTTGGAGTCTCACTGTGTCACCCAGGCTGGAGGGCAGTGGTGTGCTCCCGGCTACTGCAGCTTCGACATGCTGGGCTCAGGCGATCCTTTTGCCTTAGCCTTCCAAGTAGCTGGAACTACAGTCATGTGCCACTATGCCCGGCTATTGTTTTGATTTATTGTAGAGATGAGGTCTCACCAAGTTGCCCGAGCTGGTGTTGAACCCATGGGCTCAGGCAATCCTCTCACCTCAGCCTCCCAAAGTGCTGGGATTGTAGGTGTGAGCCACCGCGCCCGGCCTTGGCGGAGTTTTAAAGAGGAAATACTGTGAGTGGACAAGGAATGTGCAGGAAACAAATATCTTTGTCTAAGACACCTGAAGCCCATGACTCCAAGGAGGAGCCTGTGTCTGAACTATTAATGGGCTTGGGAAGCCATGAATGTGAAGAGGAGGGAGAGGGGTCAAATCCAGGCGTTTCTGAAACACTGAAGGAAATTCTGAGGTGTGTCTGTCTGTGGAGCCACAGGCCTTATAAGGCTCAGCTTCTTCTCCAACCCCAGGTCCCGGAAGAGAGGCAGAAAAATCTTTTCTTTTTAGATGAAGTTTTCATAAGTTGGGATTTCAGGAGACTCACGTTCATTCTCTTGTGGTGGCGGCATCACCTGTGAGCCCAAATAAACAACAAAACCACACAAGAATATGGTTGATACAGCCTCAGATGACTCTGAGACTTTCCTCAGTCCTATGCTGGTGAGAGGGAAGAAGGCAAGGCCAAGCTATCACTGGTCCAGCCTACAGAAGTGGGGTCATATGTTCTGGCCCAGGGATTGGGCAACCAACCAAGCCAATGACAAGCTTTTCTGGGGAGTCTTTCAATGGTAAAGGCCATGGGCTGGACTCTGGGCTAGGACAATGCACAGAAGTTTAGTACAGTAAATCCAGGGGACACAAAAAAAACCAATAAGAGGTCTTTCTTCAAGAAGCTACTGTTGAATGATCCCAGTCTCTTCCCTGGCTGGAGAAACAGGACAAACATTTATACAGAGATAATTTAGATTGCAGAGGTTAAGCTCCAAAGTAGCACGGTGGACCAGGACACCTTCCTATACCAAGGGTTCCTAGGATGTCCTGTCTGAGATGTTTAGGGAGGGCTCTGAAGAAAGACAAGATCTGGGCTGACAGAAAAGAGTTGGGGACCAGCAACATCTCAGGGATATCATCAATCTTCACTGTGCAGATATGGATGTCAGAAAATGATAACTAAAGTGGGTTTGAGAATTTCCAGGTCAAGTGGGCACTAAAGGCTGCCTGAGACCCAGAGCCAGAATTCTTGGTCCTGAAAATCCTGAAAACAAGGGATAAATTCTGTTAAAAGCTTGGCTAAGGACACACACTGATCTCCATTTATGCTGTAGTGAGGAGGACTTTAGGGATCTTAAGTCCCCAGGTCAGTGTGGGCATTTTGAAGAACTGACCAGGCATATGCTGACTCGTGATTATTCTGAAACTCAGTGCAGAGACTGATGTCCATGACTTTAAGTCTGACCAGTATTGACCCAAACACAAAGGGCCAGGTGGGAGTGGAATCAGCTCCGGGAATGCAGTCAACAGCATAGATTTGGCCTCAAGTTCAAAGACAGGGTTTCTACTTAGCTAAACATTAGACCAATCTATAAGTCAGGAAGCGTCAGAGGATGGTTGAACTAAACACACATCTGAGCAGGTGTTTACTGAGCAAATTCTTTCTTTTAAGGTCCAACCCAAATTACTTTTTCATGAAGTCTTTTCTCTTTCTCTCAGGACAATGATATCTCCCACCTCTAATATCTGAAAAACCCTTGGGAACTACGCACATAATTTAAGGAGTCAAGTACAGTTGACCCTTGAGCAACATGTGTTTACATTCAATAGGTACACTCATATGTGGATTTGTTTTCAATAAAAGTTATACCAAGTGTGTCTGCCCCTTTTACCTCCTCTGCCACCCTCTCTATCTCTTCTCTTCCTTGAGTCAGCATGACCATTTCCTCCTTCTCTTTTTTTCCTTTCTTCTCCTCCTCTACCGCCTCAGTCTACTCAACAAAAAGATGACGAGGGATAGCGTCAACCTTCACCATGCAGAGATGGATGTCAGAAAACGATAACTAAAGTAGGTTTGAGAACTTCCATATCAAGTGGGCACTAAAGTATGAAGACTTTTATGATGATCCAATCCCACTTAATAAATAGGAAATATATTTCTCTTCCCTATGATTTTCTTAGTAACATTTTCTTTTCTCTAGCTTACTGTATCTGGGGGATGCATGGTGTGTAGATTTAAGCTCCTCAGTCATGGGAATCTAGGATTTCAGTTAAAATGCTCTAGGGGATAGTTTCTCACTTTATGAGCCTTGGGAGTCAGAGAAGATTGTTCTTACCATCTGAGGTTTCTGTACAGAGCAGTAGATCGTGACTGAGCTCTCTTTCTTCTGAGAAACAGGGATCTTTCCCTGTAACAGAACATCAGACCAGCCTAAATCATCAGATGAAAGCCAGAGTTTCACCCTCATCTCTGGAGCAGAGGGGATGCTTCCCCCGCCCCCCACCAGGGTCTGGTCTCATACAGAAGGTGGGAGCTGTCTTGGCACAGTGGGGACAAATGGCTCTGGTTCCCCAACACTTCCCTGATTAACGGCCCAAGAACGGGAACCGAGGCACAAGTCCCTCCATTCCCCAGGACTGCAAGGTTTGGTAAATATGGGCAGGACTCATATGCCCTTGGTCCTGTCCCCAGGAATTAGTCATCCAGGATGGTCCTAGAAGTGGGAAGAGGAGGACAGAGTATTGATCAGAAGAGCTCACCTGCAAATTGAAGAACACTTGCGTATACTCTGTGTCCCCTTCAACCATAGGCTTAACTACCGTGTCATCTGGAGTGACGAGATCATACTCTTGGCCTTCAGAGGCTGAGTCACATTCAGTGTCTTCCTGAGTGACCAGGTCATACACTTCATCTCTTCCATTGATAGTCTTGGGCATCTCGGGCCTCTCTTCATCCTCCTCAGTTGTGACGTTGCTGTCAGAGCTGCTGTCTGAGGTGGCTGGAGGCTGTTGTCTGGCAGGCTTAGAGGGAATATCCAACTTCTCATACCCTTGGGAGAACACAGTGTATAGTGTGCGACTAGCCGCGGGTTCTGAAACACACTATGCATGGCTGATAAGAGCGTGCCAACCCCAGCTCCCTCTTGCTTTGCTGCAAGGACCCAACCTGCTCTGAGGCTGCATGAGCCCTAGAGAAGGGAAGGAGTTGTTTTTTCCTGTCTTCCCTCGGGGTCTTCCATCCCACTCTTCCTTCCTCCTTCCTTTCCGGCATGCGTTTATTTATTCATTTGATAAACTTTCACTGAGTGTGACATGTAATGGACTCAGCAACTCTCGGTGAGCAGAACTGGCGAGGCAGGATCACTCATACCAAGCGCCATGACAGGTGCTCAGGGAAACATAAAGGTAAACAGACTCAGTCCTGGAGGAGCACACAGTCAGGCTAGGGGGGTCGAGTCCTTAGATAACCAGTGTCACATGACAACGATGAGGAAGACACAGAGCTGAGAGCAGATGGCCTCTGGTTGGGAAAGCAGCGAAGATCATGCAGTCTTCCCTCTTGGGAAAGGATGACACTAAACATATTTAGCAACTGCATTGGCCAGGGCGTAGGGTACTTGGAAGGAATGCCTGCTGAGAACACTGGTGTGGCTCACGGATTGGGAATCAGCCCTGCCTTTGGGCACATCAAGCAGAGCGTTTGACCCAAGGCTCACATTTACTGAGTGCTTATTGTGTGTCAGGCACTGTTCTAAATGCTTTTCATGAATACGCTTATTTAATCTGCATAAAACTCCATGAAACATAGACAATAACTACCCTTATCTTTTTTTTTGCAGACGAGGAAACTGGAGCCCATAATGATTAAGTATTTGCCTGAGTAAGTGGTGGGGCCAGGATTTGCATGCAAGTAGCCTCATCCCTGATGCTCTTAACCACCTCTCAATACTGCCCCCTCCTGGTTTTGTGAAGGAGAAAAGTAGATAAAGTGGGCTCTGGCTCAACACTGAGCTAAAAGAGTAATGGCCACCTGTTGCCTGAGCACTGTGGGCATCGTTACTCCCCTTGGTCCTCACAGCAGCTCTGAGAGGCAGGTCCCCTCACTTTGCAAATAAGGAAACTGAAGCTTAGGGACTGAATTGTGTCACTAATAAGAGGGAGAGCTCGATTGTCCTACCTAGAACTCATGCAACGGACTTCCAGGTTATACGGCATTTGAACCACCCACAGAGGCCATGAGGAGCCATTGAGGATTCTAGAGTAGTCAGAGTTGAGCTCAGCAAAGCGATGAGCAGAAAGGATAAAAGGAAAACCGGAGAGGGAGTGGCAAGTTAGGAAACTATTATTGTATTTTAGGGAAGAAGTAACAAGGGATGAGAATGTCTGTTAATAAGGACTGGTTAAATATGTAAATTAAATAAATCTGTAGAACGGAATAAATGAGAGTTTTAACCTGCATATTCTAATTGATGAGTCATGCTGTTAAGCTAAAAAAGCAAGTTTCAGAAGAGTGTTACTGGTTGCTCCCATATGTGAAATTAAGGGACCTTCCCCTCCAGATACACATGAGGCCTGAAAACACATTAAAAGTCTCTGAAAGGATTTAGATGTGCATAAATCTTAGCAATGGTTGTCTCTGGAGGAGAGACTTGGAAAATGGAAGAGAGTTGCTTTTAACTGTTCACTATATGAATATATGACTTTTCCTCTAAAGGAAGGATCTGATTAAGTGACAAACTGGTAACAGCATGAACTAATGCACAGCAGTTGGTCTAGAGGAGAGCAGACCAGGGAGAGATGGAACAGGCAGGTCCTAGGGGCTGAGAAGGGGTGCCGGGTGGGGGGTGGAGAGACAGGGGATACTGCAGTCCCAACATATCTTTACTCCCCCTCTGTCCAGGGACCAAAGAAGTAGGGTCAGGTGGGGGAGACCCGAGTTCTGTCTTGCCAATGGTGAGGAGGAAGCCGATGGGGAGCTCTGAGGTCCAGCCCAGTTCTCTTCCTTGCCTCCTCTCTTGGTTATGCTTTCCCACCAGAAAGCCTGTATTGTCAGGTGGCTTGAGCCCCTGGCCCCTGCCCAATCCCTCCTCTGACTCTATCTCCATGGGAGGTGGCATGAGAGAGAGAGAGAGTGTATGTTTTGAGTTGGAGTGCAGTGGCACGCTCATGGCCATCGCAGCCTTGATCTGCTGGGCTCAGGAAATCCTTCTGCCTCAGCCTTCCAAGTAGCTAGAAATATAGGCATGTGCCATTACGGCTGGCTAATTTTTATGATTTATTGTAGAGATGAGGTCTCATCGAGTTGCCCAGGCTAGTCTCAAACCCCTGGACTCAGGCAGTCCTCTCACCTCAACCTCCCAAAGTGTTGAGATTACAGGAGTGAGCCACCATATCCGACTTTTTTTCTTTTCCTTTCCTTTCTTTCTTTTCTTTCTTTCTTTTTTTTTTTAACAGGGTTTGGTTGGAGTGGGTAGAGTTTGGGTATTTCTTAGCACTCCAGAGCTCCAGAGTTCAAGGTGGTGGTTAGGATACTGTTGGATAGGAGCAGAGGAGTAAGTGCAGGCACCTCAGCTCTCTACCCCAACATCCATCAGAACTGTTCTACTTTTATGTGATGCTCTTGAGTGATAGATGTCTACACAGTCTCATGGGGTTTAATTTTAATTAAGTTTTTCTTAGCTTCTGCCACAGATATATTATTCCATCTGGCTTTTCTCTATTCTCAGAGTGGAGAAAATAACTCATCTGAGGCCACATCCAGGTGATGATGGACAAAACCCTGGAGACCTGGGTGGACAGATGCCTCTCCTAGCTCTGGTGACCATCCCTGAGGGGTCCATCCTGGTGTGGCTTCTGCTCCTTTAGCACACTGCCTCTCCAACTGTAATGGGCATAGGAGCTGCCTATGGATCTTGTTAAAATGCGGATCTGGATTCAGTATTCTGGGGGGTGCCCGAGATTCTGCATTTCTAACAATCTCCTGGGTAGGGCTCATGATGCCGGTTGATAGTCTACACTTTGAGTAGCCAGGCCGATGAGCCTCCATTTGGAACAGGAACCTCATAGTTTGAGTCACTGGTGATATTACCTGGTGTGTCAGCTGAGGCCTCAGCTTGGCTGGAACTGAAGACTGGGTCTGAACCTGAGAAATCAAATTAGAGAAGGTTTATCAAGAGGATCGTGAGGTGAGAGGTGTCTTTGATTCTGTGAGAATCAAACAAGAAGGGGAGAGACTTCCAGGGACACAGACAGGGAAGAGGTGTTGGGAGGAGAGATGAAACCTGATTTGAGTACAGGCCACGGGAAGGGGTGAACAGACTCTAGGGCTATCTTCACGGGGGCTCTGAAGTTTCCTGCCAGCCCTCTAGAAGGGAGGGCTCCAGATCCTCTGTCATAGCAGTCAGAGTGGTTTGCCTGATAACAATACTTCTTCCGGGGGCCCTATGTGCTCTAGCATGCTGCTGTTTTTGGAAACTACTGTTTCCACTCGAATACCAGATTCTAAAGGGTGCGGCCAATCATAATAGCATATATCCCCTTGGCTATAGTGATTGGTTCAAGCATTGGCTGCATGACTTTAGCCTGGGCCAATCCGGGATGTTTTTAGCATCCTTCAATTGGAATTGGAGGGGAGCATGTTTTTTCTCTTTCTAGTATCAGAGCTATTAGTAGGTGTGAGTCTGGAGCTACCAGATGCTGTGTGGAGGTACACCCTTCCCCCACCTCCATCCCACTCCTCCGCTGGCTGCACTAGAAGAGTTGAAGCTAGCTCAAAGAAAGAAAATAGAGAGATGGAGAGCTCTGGGAAGTTTTGAGTCCCTAGAGACATTTGTCCATAAAACCAGCTCTATCCCTGCCTTCCCCACAGATTGATGATATAAGTGGCAAAATAGTAAATCACTCTCCCTGCCCCTTCCCTGCACCCTTTTTTGTCTAAGCCATTCTGAGTTGGGTTTCAGTTATTTGTAAATATAGAATCCCAACTGGCACACCTCTCCAATCACTCTGAGAAGAAATGAGGTGCTGGGAGGGAGGATTAGGGAAGTATTGTATGAGGACAGAGAAGACTCCACAGGTCCCAGGAAATGGCCTAGTGCTGGCGGATGCCATTGACCTCAGAAACCCACGCTGTCTTTTCTGCTTCCAGATGCACAGGCCAAAGACTCCAAAGCACAGAAGGCAAACCATCAGGGAGAGGACAGTCCAAAGTCTCATGTTTCCCTCAGGCCCTTTGAAGAGAAAATGAGAGCTATTAATACAAATAGTGACAAGACAGATAGGAGCAAGCAAGGGACTTAACATAATGGCCATTCCACCTGTCCTCCAAAGTTCCGTGATATTGCAGTTTTTCTTTTCATTCATTCACTCTACAACCAGTTTTTGAGCAAGCATTGTCCAAGGCAAGAGGTTACAGCAGTACCTAGGGCAGACACAGTCACTGGTGGACAGGCTTGTGGCTTGCCAGTGTTGAAATAAGCTAAATCAGTTAATAACATCAAATTGCTAGCAAAGTAATAATATTAACCAGCCTACTCCATTTTGTTTAAAACTTTTATCTTAGTTACCTGCCTGACCTAAGAATCAATGCCTAAGTGTGATTACAGTAACGTTCCCATGACCACAAACCTCCAGCTTTGTCTCCTTTGGGCAGGTTATGCTGACCATTGCCTGATGACGGTTCCAGAACTCCTTTGCCATATCTTCCATGTAATTGTATGCTTTGTTAGCTGAAATCAAATGTTACGCTTTGACATTTTCATAGTTTGTTCTTATATTCTGTTAATGACCTAACCAAGGTAACTCCATTGTATAATGATTCTTCTTCTTTGTCTCTATGTAACTACCTTAAACTATATCTTAATGGCAGAACAGGGACTTTCTGGACACTGGCTATACCTAGGACATAAAATTAACCAAAGCTCACTAACAATCAAAAGTTCCCATTTTGGTTGCCAAGTTGTTAGTTAATAGTTGCTATGGTCACTAAGTTGCCACATAGCAAATGCTACAAATTTTACCTATAAAAGCTTGTCACCAACTGCATCAATTTGCCAAGAGTTTTTCTAGCATTTGCCTACTCTTGACCCGCGCGTTTAATAAATTCATAATTAATTAGACTCAACTTGCTGGCGTAACTTCTTCTCGCTTACTCGGTCATAACAGTGTCACAGAGTTTTTTTTTAAGTTAAAGTCTTACTCCATCACCTAGGTTGGAGTGCAGTGGCACGCTCACGGCCACCCCAGCATCGACTGCTGGGTTCAGGCGATCCTTCTGCTTCAGCCTTCCAATAGCCAGAGCTACAGGTGTGTGCTATCATGCCAGGCTACTTTTTGGATTTATTGTAGAGATGAGGTCTTGCCAAGTTGCCTAGGCTGGTCTCAAATCCGTGGGCTCAGGCAATCCTCTCACCTCAGACTCCCAAATTGCTGGGATTACAGGCTTGAGCCATCGTGCCTGGCTTGTCACAGAGTTTTAAGGATTTGACCTGAGATTTGAATTCAGATTGAATGATCCCACAGCACCCTTAAGCACCCCACACACCATCCCATTCTGTAAATGATATGAAGGGAGCTCTAGGCTAGAGACAGAAAGAGTCCAGATTCCCACTGAATTGGACGCTAGATCTGTGTACCAGAAACAGTCTGATCCAGCATTGACAGATCCTGGTAGACCTTACCTTTGTTTTGTTTCCTTCTAGGGAAAAGCAGAAGATAGAGCCCAGGGTTCCAATTCTGCTTTTACGAGCAACCTTGGGCAAGTCCTTTATCCTTTCTGAGTGTTGGTTTCTTTATCCATGAAAAGGAGGATAATAAAAATATCTGCTTTTGGTCAGGCATGGTGGCTCACACCTGTAATCCCAGTACTTTGGGAGCCTGAGGTGGGGAAGATCGGTTAAGCCGAGGAGCTTGAAACCAGCCTAGGAAACATAGCAAGACCTCATCTTCCCCACCCCCCACAAAAAAAATCTGGGTGGGGTGGCACACGACTGTAACCCTAGCTAATCTGGGGGCAGAAGGATTGCCTGGGCCCAGGAGGTAGAGGCTGCAGTAAGCCATGATGGTGCCACTGCTCTCAAGCCTGGGCAACAGAGTGAGAATCTGGCTCAAAATTTAAAAAAAATCTGCTGTGTAGGATTGTAGTGAAGACTGTGAAAAAATGCACAAAGCCTAGAAGAGAGTCTGGCATCTAGGGGGAGCCACTTGGCATCCTTTCTAGTACCACTCAAGCAGCCCTTGCTCCTATGTAGTCCACATGCCTTTGCATATCCGCTCCCCATCGGCCTTTCTCCTCAAGCCCCTCACCCTGTGCTCCCCAGTATGGCAGCTGCAGCTATGAATAAACCCTTGAAATGTGGTGGGTGTGACTGAAAAACTAAACTGCTTATTTTACTTAACTTTAGTGAATTTACATTTACATTTTAAAATGACTGCTCGATTCCTTCTTGAAAACTCATAAGCATGCTTGAAACAACGAGGGTATGTCAATCGATTTTTTCAACTGTAAATTTTATGAAATCTGAATAAAGTGCTTCTAGTGGAAATTTAACATCTGAATCGAGATGTGCCATTAGTGTAAAATACATACTGACTGTCAAAGGCTCAATATAGAATAAAATGCAAACTGTCATGAGTCATTTTTTTGTGTTGAATACATATTGAAATGATGATATTTTGGATACGTTGGGTTAAATAAAATATACTATTAAAATTAATTTTACCAGTTTCTTTTTGTTTTTCCTAATGTGGCTGTTAGAACATTAAAATCGCATACATGGCTCCTATTCTATTTCTGTTGAAATGTGCCATGTTAGAGGACTCTCACCCAAACTCCCTGGCTGTACTTTGTAAAGAACCACTCAGCATGCAAATTCTCTTGGATGTGAGGCCTCAAGACCCACGGCCTGAAGGAAGACATGGAGCACAACCTGAACAGATATTTCCAGAAGGAAACTGGTGAGAGCTGTTGCTGACAGTGTTGCTGGCCGTGCACGTGAGGTTGGGGCGATTTTCATCACTTCTCCATGAGATGTTGAGGTGTGATCCCCCTTGGGACACAATAGCTCCCTTCTGCAGGGGCGTCCACGTGTATGTCACATTGTTTCCACCATCCTCCACAGAGCAGGTCAGGCTGACTCTGCAGGTGCCGTCCTTGGTGGGCCCAAGTTTCCAGGTGATTTTTGGTTTCACCAGCCTCCCTGTGAGAGAAGAAAGGCAGATCCATTGCACTGTGGAGTCTACCCTGCCACCAGGTACTCACCTCGTCTTCACTCATTGAAAACCTATTTGTGAAACTGTGTGTGGACACTGAAGGCATTTTGGAGTGCACCTGGCCTTTTCCTCACGACCTGTGAAATCTTAGACACACCACTTTACCTCTGAGGGCCTTCATGCTCAGGTGTGAAATAAAGGAGTTAATGAAAAGTGAAAAAAGAAAGATACTGCCTCATTCCATAAAGTGTACTTACAGTTGTGAAAAACAAGCAAACCAATCAACACAAATGGTGCAATACTCCCATGCTCTCTAAAACCCTTCAAGGCTTACATTATGAGTCTCCATTATCTAATCTGTTTATGTATATGAGAGGTGAGCACAGCACTTGGCACAGAGTAGTTGCTCAACAAATGTAATAGTTTTTAAAGGAATAAGAAAGATGGCTCCATTTGTTCCCGTTTTATTACTGTTACTTAGTCTTCTTGTGGATTCTTCTATGTGTGACTCACTGTATGCAGGAGATATGGACTTGACTGACCTGTTACATATTTTAACAGGCCCATGAATGGTGACACTTTTCACAGGCACCTAGGCACCAACAGACTCAGTCAGGGAGGATGTTGACTGAATGGAATAGGTATGGGAACTGGTTAATGTAAACCATGCAAATTGCCAAGCCAAGCTCCCGTGAGGCCCAGGGTTGAGGAGGTAGATATCAGTTCTGTCCCTCACACTAACGGGAGCCGAGTTGCCCGCCCTCTTGGAAGCCACATTGTCTTTGGACACCAAGGGCTTCTCCTCAATCTTCTCTGATTCCACCCCAGTCAGTTACGTCCTTATTTAAAATGATAGCTGCCTATAAAAATGCAGATTGGAGAGTTCCTGGTCCTTTCTGAGAACCCATGCCAAAGGACAGGGACAAGTGCCAAAAGCTGAGTGGGCAAGGCCTAACTGGAAGCCTAGAGCAAGGGGTACTTTGGCAGGAAGATTCCGCTCAGCTGCTAGTTGTAACATTTCCTCTTGTGCACTGACTAGCGTGAACTGACTAGCATGTCCTGGTGGTCTGAGGACAGGCCAAGGAGAAGAGGGAAGTGGGAAAGGGAGCAGAGGAAGAAGCTTTCAGGGAAGGCATCTAATGATGGACGCTGCCCAGAGACTCACGGTAGATGAGCAGGGTGACGTGTGTCATGCTGATGACTCTGGAGGCTTCCGAGCACACAAAGGCATGGTAAAGGCCAGCATCCTCCAGCTTCAGTTGGTCAATCTTCAGGGAGTAGTCCTGGCCAGAGATCCACACCCTGTTCTTGTCAAGATCCCTGAATTTCATGAGTGGATTTGCTGTTGCTTCACATTCTTTGCTGATAACAGACGTGTTAAACATCCAGATAACATTCCCTGTGCCCTGACTGACTGACAGTGCCAGTGGCAAGGTGATGGACTCTCCCAGGATCCCCATCACTGGCTCCCCCATCGCTCTTCCTCTGAAAGTTTCTGGATCTGTGGTCAGAGGTGGGACATTACAGCTTCAGTCATTGTCCTTTGAAGGGAACTGAAGCCCCTCTTCCTCTTTCTCTTCACCCCAGCCTCCTCCTCTGAGAGCCCGTACCTGCTGCTTCCCCAAGACCACCTGTTCCACCTGGCCCTGCCCATTGCATACCTAGACTCTCCCACCTCATCTCTGCTCTTCTGAGGGGACCCCAGGAAATATCTCCATGCAGGCAAAGATTAATCTGGACCCCTTCATCCCATACCCTCTTCTCTCTTGCTTTAACTTTAGAGTTTCACAGTTCTCTGGGCTTTTTCTAAGTTCTGCCAGCTCTCTCAGACCCTCAAGGATAAAAGCAAGGGGCTTTTGGGCCTGTCCTCTTGCTTCCCCACCCTATCTGTGTCTTACTAGAACCCTGGGGTGTAGACCCCACAGCTACTCAGGCTGTTTCTGGAATCCCCTAGAGTGCCTAATCGGAGCCAGTTACCTGAACAGAACTGCCAAGCATGGACAGGGTGGGAGCTGCTCTGGCTGACTGGGTTCCGGGCTGTGCAGGTGTATGGTGGGTCTGGGTCACAGGGCGTTTGGGAGATGGTAAGAATGGAGCCCCCATTGGACTCAGAAGCGTGGGTGTCCCTTGGAGTCCAGCTGTACAGAACGTCTTTCCCTTCCCCCTTCACAGAACATTTCAACGTGATGTCACACGAGGAGTTCTCAGACATATTCACGGACTCCATGGTGACTTGGGGCTCTGGAAGTTGCGCTGCAGGGACAATGGCATTGGGAAGACACTCAGACCCCTTCATCAGCAGAAGAGAGCTGAGAGAAGAAGGTAGTGACCACAGAGGAGCTTGGGCAGCAGAGGGAGGCCAGCGTTGCCTGTGGCAAGAAATTTTCCTCTCAGTCTAGGTTGAGTGCCACTCCTCCGGGCTTCCATAACATCCTCTACGGGTGTTATCACCAGGACTCAACAGGACTAGGAGTCTGATTACTTCTCTCCCTCCCCCACCAGTATAAGAACTCCTTGAGGATAAGGCTGACGCCTGTGTCTGAACATCTATCACCCAGTCTGACTTATGGAAAACACTCATGAGAGTTTAGTGAATAAACAGATTAATGACTCAGTCCCAAGCACTAAGGTCTGGGGAGTTCTGCATCTAGAATTTGAGTTGTTCCTGCCTCTTGGTCTGCATTTTGGATCCATTGTGCTTCCAGATCTCTTTCCTGGTCTTCTTCTTCCCTTTTGTTCCATTTCCTCTGTTCACCGTGTGTGTGTGTGTGTGTGTGTGTGTGTGTGTGTGTATGTTTAATTAGATTCTATTTCTTTTTCTTGAATATGTAATACATGCTCAAAATTGGAAAGCCAGAAGAGGATGCATAATGAATAAAAGCTTTCTTGCTTCCAGTCACCTATATCCTCTCCTCAAGAACTGATATGCCTGGAGGCAATTACTGTTATGAGTTTTTTGATGATATTTCCAGAGAGTCTAGGTATAGATAGATATATGATAGCATACTCTACACACTATCCTGAACCTTTCAAAAATTTTAATAATATACCTTGGAAATTTCTGTATGTCAACACATGTTGAGTTGATTCTATTAGCTGCATAGAATTTCATTTTCTGAATATATACAGAGTACCCTACAAATCAATAAAAAAGGTCAAACTACCTAAAAGATGGTGTTATGGGATGAACTCTGTCTCTGCAAATTTCATATGTGGACATTTTAACTTCCAGTACCTCAGAATGGGACTGTGTTGGGAGATATAATTGTATCTAGAGATACAGGTAATTAAGTTATAATAGGGTCATTGGCGTGGGCCCCAAATCTTTAAGAAGGGGAGGTTTGGAGGATTTCTGGCAAGATGACGATGGAACAGGTCGGACTGTGAGAGTCTCTACAAAAGCGAGTGTCCACTCTCTGTGTGAGTGGTGTGTGCTGGTGGGTGAGCGAAAGTCTGAGGGGAGACTGGAGTTCATGCACCAGGGGCTCTCCTCTGGAGGTGACTGCAACCCTCCACTGCCCTGAGATTGGAGCCTCTGGTGTGCAGGATCGTCTGCTGCTCTCAGGGCTCTTCTGAGAAGAGGCAGCAGAAAGCAGCTGATCCTCACCACCTGGTGCCTAGCCCACACCATCACCTGAGACAGCAGAGTGGCACAAGCCCCAGGAACCATGGAGAGAACAGGTAGGGGAGAGCTGGAGAAGCACCCCACCACTGGTGAGGAAAAGCTGACTGGCACCATTTTCTCTGTCCTGGGACCAGGCAGAGACCTGCATTGTCTTACCCAGCTCCATCCAACCTCCAACCTGGGACCTAGAGGTTATCTCATCAGACTTGTACCCCTCCTCCACGCTGGAACAGGCACAGATACATCAGATCTGAGTGGAAGACTTAACAACAGTGGCAGCAAGTCCAGTGAGTCCAGATCTGATCCAGCCTCCTCCTACAGTAGTCCATGGGGTATCTGATCCATGCTGAGATCAGCCCTATCAATCTGTGCTGAGAGTAGAGGGGGGGACTGGAGTCCAGAGCTGAAAGGAAGTTGAAGTTACAGGAACAGCCTCAGAGTGAGTTTTGTTTTGTTTTCGTGTTTGTTTGTTTTAGTTTTTCCCCTCTTCCCTTCTTCTGTTTGATTATGTATTCATACTTGCCTTGTTTCTATTATTTTAATCTTATTTTGTTTTGACTTCCTGTTTGTGTATGTGCATTTTTAAGGGAGAGAACATCAATAGGAGGGCTTTCTGTAAGCTTGTGTTTGTATGATTGTCTGTATGGTTTTTTAAAAAATCTTTTCTGTTTTTTGTGTGTCTCTTTTCATTTGTTAATTGGTATACCCATCTGTTTCCCTCTTCTTCTTCTCTCTTTCCACGTTTCTCTCATCCCTCTCCTTCCTCTTTCCATTCTTCTCCTTTTTCTTACCTCATTTTTTTGGGGGGGCAAACCCACTGCATGGACCCACTGTCCCCCACTGCATGGACAGATTGTAAGGCAGTGGGAAGTGGGTTCCAGGGGACCCACACAACTGTCAGTGGATACTGGGCTCTGCAGATAGTTTCTGAATCACAGCTTCCCTCTCAATTAAATCTCAAAACTGCAAAAAGTACACCCCCACCCCCAGTCAAGCTTCAGAATTGAACAAAGTCAGACGATCTACATTAGGAAGAATAGGAGATTGAGCAAACAGAAGTAAAAGCTACCCTCACATCCCTGAACAACAGAATCAAAGAAAAAGTAAAAAAAAAGGGGGGGAGGCAGGAGGAAAATCTCTACAAATGAAGAAAAACCAAAGGAATAATATGGGTCTCACACAGACCCCTTGGAAGATCAGCCACTGAGAATACAGTTTTTGGGACGCAAACAATGAAAAACCCCCAGAATGCCTGGTCTCAAACCACAAACCCAGATATCAAGGCAATAATAGAGATAATAAATACAAATGAGGAAAGACAAGAGGAAAGAATGAAGGAGTTGGTAACTGAGATAACACAATAAAAAATACAGTGAATGAAATAAATAACAAACTAATAATCATGGAAAGCAGAATTAACCAAGCAGAGGAAAGAATCTCAGAACTTGAGGGACAAAATATAGAACTAACCCAAACTGTTAAATGCATTGAAAAGAAGCTTTAAGAAACAGAACACAAGTGATGAGTGATTATTTCAAAAGGCTAAATCTAAAATTAATTGGAATCCCTGAGGCAGATAGAGGGCCAGAGAACACCCTGGAACAAACATTCCATAAAATTATCCAAGAAAACTTTCCTTATCTCATCAGTGATGTGACCATTCAAGCACAGGAGATTCAGAGAACCCTGCAAGACAATAAATGAGAAGACTAACTCCTAGACATATAGTCATTCACCTACACAAAGTAGGTGTAAAAGAAAAAATCCAAAAAGCAGCAGAGAGAAATGTCAGACTACCTAACTAGGAAAGACCAATTAGAATAGCAGCAGACTTATCTACAGAAACACTTTAGGCTAGGAGAGCTTGGAACTCAATCTTCAAAATTCTCAAAGATAAACAGTTTCAGCCAAGAATTACCTACTCAGTTAAGTTAAGCTTCATCAGTGATGGAGAATTAAAATCCTTCCCAGACATTTAATCGCTAAGAGCTTATGCTGCCTCCAGACTAGCTCTACAGGAAACACTTAAGAAAGTATTAAGCACAGAAGGAAGGAAAAAAAGAACTGCAACACCCTTCCCAAGAATGAGAGGGGTGAATCAACTCCAAAATCAAAAGAAAGACTACAAACAAATAAACAAACAAAGAACAGCAACAACAACAACAAGAAACTCTATAAGAACCTCATGACAGGGATAGACTCTCACATCTCAATAATCAATCTGAATGTGAATGGACTAAATGCACCACTGAAAAGGCATAGAATGGCAAATTGGATAAAATATCATCATCGACAATATATTACCTCCAAGAGACTTATCTCACCAGAAAGGACACTCACAGACTCAAAGAGGATGGAAAACAAAACTTCAGGCGAACTGAACACAAAAGAAAGCAGGAGTCATGATCCTAATATCAGACAAAATACTCTTTAAGCTATCAAAAATTAAAAAGATATGTAAGGTCATTACATAATGATAAAAGGTTCAACCCATCAACAAGAAATATCCATTCCAAACATATATGCATCCAATGTAGGAGCACCAACTTTCATAAAGCAGCTTCTAGGTAAACTAAAAAAAGATATTGACTCTAACACTATCAAAGCTAGGGATGTAAACACCCCACTAACAACGCTAAACAGATCAACAAGACAAAAAATCAACAAGGAGATCCGGAATTCAATGTGACGCTTGACCAAATGGACTTAATTGAGACCTACAGAACACTCCACCCAACAACCATGAAATATACATTCTGCTTATCACCACATGCAACATACTCTAAGATCAACCACATCCTCAGCCATAAATCAAGCATAAACAATTTCTATAAGATTGTCGTACTGCCATGCACCTTCTCAGACCACAGTGGAATAAAAATAAATATCAACACCAACAAAGTTCCCCTAAAAACCACAAGGACACAAGACACTAAATAGCATAATGCTAAACAACTCCCGGGTTAACATGGAAATCAAATCAAAGATTAAAAGATACATGAAACTAATGAAAATGAAGAAACATCTTGCCAAAATCTCTGGACTGCTATGAAAACAGTACTAAGAGGGGAATTCATATCTCTATGCACACACATGGAGAACATGGAAAGATCACAGATAAACAGTTTAAAAATCACCTAAGTAAGCTGGAAAAGCAAGACCACCAAAACCCTAACTTTAGAAGAGGAATCCGGATCACCAAAATAAAAGCCCAAATTCGAGACATAGGAGACAAAAAGATAATACAAAAAAATCAACAAAACAAAAACCTGGTTCTTTGAAAGAATAAACAAGATTGATGAACCCTTAGCTAGATTGACCAATAAAAAGAGAGAAAAAGCCCAAATAAACATAATCATAAATGCAAAAGATCAAGTCATAACTGACACCAAAGAAATACAAAAGATTATCAGAGATTACTATGTACACTTGTATGGAAAAAAACTTGAAACTATAAAGGAAATAGAGTACTTTCTGACATCACACAACCTCCCCAGTTTGAAACAAGAAGAAACCGAGACCGTAAATAGACCAATAACAATCCAGGAAATTGACTTTGTCATTAGAAAATACCTACAAAAATAAAAAACCCTGAACCAGATGGCTTTCCAGCAGAATTCTACAAAAC